GCTAATCCTCCTCTTTTTTTTTGCTGAGGAAGACCAGCTCTGAGCCAACATCTATTGCCAATCCTCCTCCTTTTTTTCCCCAAAGCCCCAGTAGGTAGTTGTATGTCATAGTTGCACATCCTTCTAGTTGCTGTATGTGGGACGCCGCCTCAGCACGGCCGGAGAAGCAGTGCGTCGGTGCGCGCCCGGGATCCAAACCCTGGCTGCCAGTAGCAGAGCACGCGCACCCAACCGCTAAGCCATGGGGCCGGCCCTCTCTGTTTCTTCTTGATTCAGTTTTGGAAGGTGGTATGATTCTAAGAATTTATCCATTTCTTCTAGATTATCCAATTTGTTGACATATAGTTTTTCATAGTATTCTCTTATAATCTTTTGTATTTCTGAGGTGTCTGTTGTAATTTCTCCTCTTTCATTTGTGATTTTATTTATTTGAGCCTTCTCTCTTTTTTTCTTGGTGAGTCTAGCTAAAGGCTTGTCAATTTTGTTTATCTTTTCAAAGAACCAGCTCTTAGTTTCATTGATTTTTTTCTATTTTTTTTTTATGTCTCTATTTCATTTATTTCCACTCTGATTTTTATTATTTCCTTCCTTATACTGATTTGGGGCTTTGTTTGCTCTTCTTTTTCTAGTTCCTTTAGGCGCACTGTTAGATTGTTTGTTTGGGACTTTTGTTGTTGAAGTAGGCCTGTATTGCTATAAACTTCCCTCTTAGAAGCACTTTTGCTGTATCCCATAAATTTTGGCATGTTGTATTTTCATTTGTCTCCTTTTTGATTTCTCCTTTGATTTCTTCATTGACCCAGTAGTTGTTCAGTAGCATTTTGTTTAATCTCCACATATTTGTGGCTTTTCCAGTGTTCTTCTTGTAGTTGATTTCAAGTTTCAAACTGTTGTGGTCAGAAAAGGTGCTTGGTATTATTTCAATCTTCTTAAATTTATTGAGACTTGTTTTGTGACCTAATATGTGATCTATCCTGGAGAATGTTCTATGTGAATTTGAAAAGAATGTGTATTCTGCGGTTTTTTGGGTGGAATGTTCTGTATATATCTAAGTCCGTTTGGTCTAATGTGTCATTTAAGGCCACTGTTTCCTTATTGATCCTCTGTTTGGATGATCTATCCATTGGTGTAAGTGGAATGTTAAAATCCCCTGCTATTATTGTGTTGCTGTCTATTTCTCCTTTTATGTCTGTTAATAATTGCTTTATATATTTAGGTGCTCCTGTGTTGGGTGCATAGATATTTACAAGTGTTATATCCTCTTGTTGGATTGTTCCCTTGATCATTATGTAGTGCCCGTCTTTGTCTCTTGTTACAGTTTTTGTTTTAAAGTCTCTTTTGTGTGATATAAATATTGATACCCCAGCTTTCTTTTCATTGCTATTTGTGTGGAGTATCTTTTTCCATCCCTTCAGTTTTGGTTTATGAGTGTCTTTGGGTCTGAAGTGTGTCTCTTGTATGCAGCTTATATATGGGTCTTGTTTTTTTATCCAATCAGCCACCCTATGCCTTTTGATTGGAGCATTTAGTCCATTGACATTTAAAGTAGCTATTGATAAGAATGTACCAACTGCCATTTTGTTACTTTTTTTCTGGGTGTTTTAGTAGTTCTTTCTGTTCCTTTCTTCTTCTCTTGCTCTCTTTCCTTGTGATTTGATGGCTTTCTTTAGTATTATGTTTGGGTGCCTTTCTCTTAAATTTTTGTGTATTTATTATAGGTTTCTGGTTTGTGATTACCATGAGGTTCATATGTAATAACCTATGTTAATAGCAATCTATATCAAGTTGATGGCCTCTTAAGTTTGACCTCTTGCTAAAAGCTCTACACTTTTACTCTCCTCCTCCCACATTTTATATTTTTGATATCATATTTAACCTCTTTTTTGTGTGTGTGTATCCATTAATCTCTTATCTTAGAAATAGATAATTTTAGTACTTTTGTCTTTTGATCTTCATATTAGCTTCATAGGTGGTTGATCTGCTACTTTTACTGTATATTTGCCTTTACCAGTGATTTCATTTATTTATTTATTTTTATAGTTTCCTTATTCCTATTTGTGGTCTTTTCTTTTCCCCTTAAATAAGTCCCTTTAGCATTTCTTGTAAGGCTGGTTTATGGTGATAAACTCCTTAATTTTTGCTTATCTGGAAAACTCTTTATGTCTTCTTCCATTCTGAATGATAACCTTGCTGGGTCAAGTATTCTTGGCTTTGGCTGTAGGTTTTTTCCTTTCAGCAGTTTAAATGTAGTGTGCCATTCCCGTCTAGCCTTTAAGGTTTCTGCTAAGAAGTCAGCTGATAGCCTTATGGGATTTCGTTTGTATGTAACTTGTTGCCTTTCTCTTGCAGGTTTTATTAGTCTCTCTTTGTCTTTAGTTCTTGCCATTTTAATTATAATGTGTCTTGGCGTGGGCCTCTTTGGGTTCATCTTGTTTGGTGCTGTCTGTGCTTCCTGTATCTGCAAGTCTGTTTCCTTCCTTAGGTTAGGAGAGTTTTCAGCTATTATTTCTTCAAATAGATTCTCTGCCCCTTTATCTCTCTCTTTTCCTTCTGGGACACCTATAATATGGATGTTAGTGCACCTGATGTTGTCTCAGAGGTCCCTTAGGCTGTCCTCATTCTTTTTAATTCTTTTTTCTTTTTTCTGTTCAGCTTGGGTGATTTCCTCTAGTCTTTCGTCCAGCTTGCTTATCTGTTCTTTTGTATCATCTACTCTGCTGTTGATTCCCTCTAGTGAATTTTTCATTTCCATTATTGTATACTTCAGTTCTGATTGGTTCTTTTTTATATTTTCCAATTCTTTGTTGAAGTTCTCACTGTATTCATCTATTCTTCTTCCAAGATCAGTGAGCATCCTTCTGACTATTAGTTTGTACTCTTTATCAGGTAGATTGTTTATCTCTGTTTCATTTAGTTCTTTTTCTGAGGATTTGTCCTGTTCCCTTATTTGGAACATATGCCTTTCTATCCTCATTTTGCTTGTTTCTTTGTGCATATATCTATGCTTAAGTAGATCAACTACATCTCTGGATCTTGGAGAAGTGGCCTTATGTAAGAGATGCCTTATGAGGGCCAGCAGTGTGCTTCCCTCTTGTCATCAGTTCCGAATGTTCCAGGAGTGTCCCTTGTGTGGGCTACATGTGTCCTTCTGTTGTGGCAGAGTTACTCTTACTGCAGGCGCACAGGAAGACTAGGCTGTCCCCCTGACCAGCTGGTTGTAAGGCTCAGCTGTGTGTGGCTGCTATGGTCCCTTCAGTCACTTTATTGAGTGGGGGGAGCCCCAGCACAGTTGGCTGCAAGGTCGAATAGCACATTCCTGCTGCAGTTTTTCTGTTAAGTGAGTAGGCCCTCAACGTGGCTGATTGCTAGGCTCAGGGGCTCACAATTGCTGTAGGCCTCCTGCCTGCAAGGCTGTTGTCAGCTCTCTCAGTAGTGCACTTGGGTGGGGCTGGCCTCAGGTGTGGCAGCGCACATTGTTTCCGGTGTTGGAAGGTGGAGCAGATCCTCTGTGTGGCCATTTGAGAAGCACAAGTCTGCTGCAGCTGACAAGCCCTTTCACTCGCAGGCCCACGCACCCCGTCCATGTAGTCCTGCCCCATGTGCATGCCCCGCCCCTCTGAAGTGGACCCAATCACCCCACTGCAGAGGCCCCACACACTCCGCCAAAGCAGGCATGCACCTCACACAAGCCTTGCCCTGCAAAGGCAGACCCACTCACCCTGCTGTAGAGGGCCCACACATCCTACCTATGCAGGCCCACAAGTTGCCTAAGGGCTTGCTGGTGGGTGGGGCCTGTCCCTAGAGCGGGCTGCCTGCCCTGGCTGGATAAAATCAGTGCTCTAGTGGGAGGGACAAACTCCTGTGCTAACCAGCCAGAGGAAGAACTCCAATGGCGTCTGCCAGTGTCTGTGTCAGCACGCCTGTACTAGGTCACAATAATGGCTGCCCCCAATGTCTCAGTCCCTGGGGAGGTGGTCCCAGCTGCCTCCTGCCTCCCTGAGATGCTCCCAGAACCCAGCAAGTGAGTATCTTTGCACCAAAGGACTGTGCACCTTTCTGGTGATTTTGTGTATTGGGCCTTTAAGAGTAGGCTTTTCTTTCTCTTATGTTTGGTAGCTTTTCTAGGGGTATTCCCCGTTGTTGTTAATAGCTGGCAAATCCAGATATTATGACACTTGTCTTGGTTGTGCTGAGTTCAAAAGCTGCTTATTGTGGCATAGCTCTCCTGCTCAATCCCCCGCTCCTCCAGGGAAAGCTTTGTACCTTAAGATTGCTCCCCGCTGTGAAGTGCCACGGCCAGAATGTGGCTTTTTTCCTCTCCAGAAAGGTATTCTGTCTCTTCCACCTTAGTCTCTTGTTGTGGGAGTTCTTTTTATCCAGTTTCTGGTTCTCTCTCAGGGAGGGTAGTTATTCCGAGGGTAGTTGTAATTTGTTGCATCCATGGGAGGAGGTGAGTTCAGAGTCCTCCTACACTGCCATCTTCCCAGACTGGAATGAAAATAATCTTATAATTTTATTTATAGCCTACTTTTAACTTTCTTATCTCACTCTTTCTTCATAATACGAAAATATATCTTAAATTTGTAATCAGGTTGATACTAATTTCAAGTTATTGATGACTTAATGATGTATTATTGAACTGTCATTTTAAATGCTTTTGTAACTTTGTTTCTCTTATAGAGAAGAAAACTACGTCTCAGCCCTGAGCACTGTAGTAACTTTTACGTGGAACAGTATGGGAAAATGTTTTTCCCCAATTTAACAGCTTACATGAGTTCTGGACCACTTGTTGCTGTGATATTAGCTAGACATAAAGCCATTGCTTACTGGAAAGAACTTTTGGGACCAAGTAATAGCTTACTAGCTAAGGAGACACACCCAGACAGGTAACGTTCCTAGGAGGAAAAGTGGAATTCAACTATGAAAATAAAAAAAAATCTGATTTCATTATAATAGGAATTTCCTTTATTTGAAAGTTTTCCTAAATCAACTGTTTTTTTGTGTGTGTTGTGCGGGGGAGGTCCATTTTACGTTTTAACTATTTAAATGTCTAAATACCAAATACCACAAAAGGCCTCCGGGAATGTCTGATTTATGGTTTATGAGCCTTATTCTTCTCTCATCCTTGAATTAAACTGCCACTGAAGTAGGATTTTTCATGGGAAAATTGGTATGGTATTTTAAAAGAATACTGGTAATATGGGACCAGAAATCCAGATTTTCAGCATTATCATTAATGTCTGGAAAGCAGAGGACATGGAGTTCTTGCACTTTTGAATTTGCATTGCCTTTTCACTTCTCACAAAACACCTCTTTTTCACTCAGAGAACTCCTCTTTTCCCAGTGTATCCCTCCTGCAGATTTAAATATATTTGACCCTCATCTAGATAGATTTAAGCTTAAATTGAAAATAGATTAAAACTTTCACATGTGAGAAGTGGCAATGCTTCTGTAAACTTCCTAAGTAGAATACACATGTAAAAACTAAGGAAAGGATGTCGAATTGGATGATCATCATCTCTAACTTGCTTTTAGTCTAAGGGCAATTTATGGTACAGATGACCTAAGGAATGCACTTCATGGGAGTAATGATTTTGCTGCAGCAGAAAGAGAAATTCGATTCATGTTTCCTGAAGGTGAGTGACAGATGAGTAGTTAGTCAGTTGCATTTACTTATTGTTTGCTTTTTCTTTTATTTTGGGGATTTAGCTGAGATGGAAGATAACAGGGTTTTTCTCCAATATATTTTGTCATATTTTCAAGTTGTAGTTACTTGCCCTCTAAGAAATCTTTTGAGAAGAGTTTTTTTTTTTTCTTTCTTTTCTCTGGGACTAGACATATTTAGTGTTTCTCTTCTCCTTCTGTGTTGTAATTCCTTTTAGTTATCCCTAATGCACCAGTAAAGTTTGTTACACATGAAAGTAAGACTCTCCCTTGGAAATTATGATTGATGCACCATTTATTCTAAAAGTTTACTGTTTGCCTAACAAACGCTCATGCAATTGTGAAATTAATAGTTTTCAGGCCCTTTTTTTGTTTCCATCCTGTTATGGAAGTTGTAAACCTTGTAGAAGTGGATATAATGAGGAACAACAATGAGATTTTTAGCTTTTTTTCAATAATATTTTTCGAGGCAGGAAGAAAATTTTGTGATTTTCATTATAAAGAAAAAAATGCAAAGCATTGGGCAGTTTTGAATTTTTTTCTTTTTGCCATGTTATTTTCCTCTAAGTCATTTAGATCTGTTCCTCAGTATTTTCTACTGAAGATTTATTCAAAGAAAACTGAAAACTGTCCTGGATATTTAAAAGTCCTGATTCTTTTTGCGTGTGTGTGAGGAAGACTAGCCGTGAGCTAACATCCATGCCAATCCTCCTCTTTTTGCTGAGGAAGACTGGCCCTGAGCTAACACCTGTGCGCATCTTCTTCCACTTTATATGGGACGCCCCCACAGCATGGCCTGACAAGTGGTGCATCAGTGTGAGCCCGGGATCTGAGCCCGGGCTGCCAGCAGCGGAGCACACGCACTTAACACTATGCCATGGGGCCGGCCCCGTACAAGTCCTGATTCTTAAACAAACGAAAACTGTTTTATAGATATTTGTACACAAAAGGATTTGCCTGCTTGCATATTTGATTCTTACCGATCTAATTTCTGTCACATATCCATTCCATTAAAGTATCTTTTTCTTTGGAAAGAATTTATTGTGGAAAATTTCAAACATTCACAAAAGTAGACAGAATAGTACAATAAACCCCTCCCTAATGAACCCATCAACCAACTTCAACAATTGTGGTCAGTCTTCTTTCATCTATATCCCCTGCTCTTACTTCTCCTGCTTCCATATTATTTTGAAGCACATCTCAAACATGAAATGTCTTTTTAATGTGGTAGCACTTGAGATTTAGTCTTACTAGTGAATTAGACTTTTCCTCTTTAGCTTTTTTTTTTTTTTTTTTGTGAGGAAGATCAGCCCTGAGCTAACATCCATGCTAATCCTCCTCTTTTTGCTGAGGAAGACCGGCTCTGAGCTAACATCTATTGCCAATCCTCCTCCTTTTTTTTTTTTCCCAAAGCCCCAGTAGATAGTTGTATGTCATAGCTGCACATCCTTCTAGTTGCTGTATGTGGGACGTGGCGTCAGCATGGCCGGAGAAGCGGTGTGTCGGTGCGCGCCCGGGATCCAAACCCGGGCCGCCAGTAGCGGAGCGCGCGCACTTAACCGCTACGCCGTGGGGCCGGCTTCCCTTCTTTAGCTTTTAACTAAAATAGGATAAAAACTCACTTTATCTTAAGTAGAAGACATGTTTGGAAGCTCTTCTTACTGATAGGGTTATATCCCTAAATCGTGATTTTAGATTGCCTTTGTTTTTACCTGTTAATCCTCTAGACATGAGTTTAAAAGATATAATTAGATATTTGAGAAGCAGCAGTTGTAGGATAAATATAAATGATTAGTTACCTACCACGTTGCAGATCTTTTGCTGTGGGAATGTGAAGTTCTTTGGAGTAAATTCTGAGTTTTGGTATGAGTTCCCTCTTGCTTAGCAGTCGGTCAAGAACTATGTGCAAAACCCTATATGGTGGGTCACTAAAGCAAGTTGTAGAGATATTCAAAGACATGTTCTTAACTCTTGAAAAAGGTAGTGCTCTTCCCTTTCCCTTTTAATAGGGGTGGCTAATTCAAAGCTTTGCTATAGTCATTCATTCAACAAATTTATTGAGTTACCTAGTATGTGCCAGAAATATAAAGATGAATAAAAAGATGTCCCTGCTCTCAAGATGATCATATTTTAAAAATCTATAAAAATAAATATACAATGCAATGTATAAATTATAAATGTCATTAAAAAGCTTTAAAAAGTACAATGAAAGTTCATCTATGTAAGAAACATGAAAACACTTTTTATTTTCTCATTAATTCATCCAGCCCTAGTTGGTAGAGACAAATAATAAATGGTCAGCAAAAATAGATGTGGTAGAAACAAACAATCCAAAAATGAAGTTAAACAGTTTCATTCACATTAATGTAAAAAATAATAAAATATTTAGGAACAAAATTAACAAAAGAAGTGCAATTCTTGTACACTGAAAAGCACAAAACATTGCTGAGAGAAATTAAAGAATATCTAGATAAATAGACATCCCATGTTCATGGATCAGAAGAGTCAATATGGTCAAGATGGCAAATCTCTCCAAATTGATCAATAAATTTAATGCAATCCCTATCAAAGTGCATGCTTGCTTTTATGTAGAAATTGACAAGCTGATTCTAAAATTTATATGGAATTGCAAAGGATATGGAAGAGCTAAAACAATTTTGAAAAAGAAGAATAATGTTGGAGGACTTCCACTAACCTGATTTCAAAACTTAGTACAAAGCCACAATAATCAAGACAGTATGGTACTGAGACAATTAAGGATAGACATATAGATCAATGGAACAGAATTGAGAATCTAGAAATAAATCGTTATATTTATCATCAATTGATTTTCAACAAAAGTGCCTAGACAATTTGATGGGGAAAAGATGGTGTTTTCAACAAATAGTGCTGGGACAACTGGATATCTACAAAAAAGAACTTAGACCCTTGTTTCACACCACATACAAAATTGAACTCAACATGGACCATAGACCTAAACATAAGAGCTAAAAACATCTAGAAGAAAACGTAGAAGAAAATCTGCATGACTTTGAGTTGGACAAAGAGTTTTTACATATGGCACAACAGCATGATCCATAAAAGAAACTATTGATAAATTCGACTACATCAAAATTAAAAGCTTTTGTGCCTCAAAGGCCATTATTAAGAATATGAAAAGATTGGGGCCGGCCTGGTGACGTAGTGGTTAAGTTCACGCGCTCTGCTTCAGCGGCCCAGGGATCGCAGTTTCGGATCCTGAGCACGGACTGACGCACTGCTTGTCAAGCCATGCTATGGCGGTGTCCCATATAAAGTAGAGGAAAATGGGCATGGATGTTAGCCCAGGGCCAATCCTCCCCAGCAAAAAGAGGATTGGCAATGAATGTTAGCTCAGGGCTGGTCTTCCTCACAAAAAAAAAAGAAAAAAGAATATGAAAACATAAGCCACAGACTGGGAGAAAATATTGGCAGATCATATATCAGATAAAGGATTTGTATCCAGAATATATAAAGAATTCTTACAACTCAATAATAAGAAAAACAACCCAATTAAAAGCTGGGCAGGGGGCTGGCCCGGTGGTGTAGTGGTTAAGTTTGCACACTCTGCTTTGGCAGCTTGGGGTTCCCGATTCGGATCCTGGGTGTGGACCTACACACCACTCATTAAGCCATGCTGAGGTGGCATCCCACGTAGAGTAACTAGAAGGATGTACAACTATGACATGCAACTATCTGCTGGGGCTTTGGGGAGGAAAAACGAAAAAAGGAGGAAGATTGGCAACAGACGTTAGCTCAGGGCCAATCTTCCTCAAAAAATAAAAATAAAAAAACTGGGCAAAAGATTTGAATAGGCATTTCACAAGTGAAGATATATGAATGGCTAATATGCACATGAAAAAGTGCTCAACATAATCACTGGGGAAATGCAAATTAAAACCACAATGAGATACCACTACATACCCACTAGAATGGCCATAATTAATGGCAAGGATATAGAGATACTGTGATTCTCATACCTTACTGTAAAATGGTACAGCCACTTTGGAAAACAGTTTGGCGATTTCTGAAAATGTTAAACATACACTTACCATGTAACTCCACTAGCAATTCTACTCCTAGAGGAATCTACCCACCCAAGAGAAATGAAAACATAAAGACACATGTGAGTGTTCATAGCAGCATTAGTTAATATAGCCAAAAACTGGAAATAATCCAACTGTCCATCAATGGATAAACAAAACTTAGTATAGCTATACAAAGGAATACTACTCAGCAATTGAAAGGAACAAACTACTGATACATGCTACAACATGGATGAACCTCAAAACATTATGCTAAGTGAAAGAATCCAGGCACAAAAGACCACATATTATATGATCAATTTATATGAAATGTCCAGAACAGGCAAATTTTTAGAAACAGAAGTTCAGTTGTTGCCAAGAGCTGGGGATGGGAGTGGGAGCAAGGAATTGCAAACAGGTACAAGGAAACATTTTGGGGATAATGGAAGTGTTCTAAAACTGTATTGTGGTGATGATCGCACAACTATAAGTTTATTAAAAATCAATTGTATACATCAATGGGTGAATTTTATGATTTGTGAATTATACCTCAACAATACTGTTTTTTTAATAGAATTATAAAAAGTAAATGAGGTTCTTGCTCCCATGGAGTTTACAGTCTAGTGTTCAAAAAATAGCCATTAAACAATAATTACCCCAATAGTTGCATAGTTATTATAATAATTGCATAGTTATTGTGTGGTAATTGCTATGCAAGGCAATTAGAGGGTATCATGAATGAATACCACTATAATGAAAAAGGCCTGACTGAGGAAGTGACATTTGAGCTAAGATGCAAGGGATAAGTAGTGGTTAACCAGAGTAAAGGGAAGAAAATTATAGCAGAAGGAACAGTATGTGCTTAAGTCATGGGCAGGAAAGAACATGGCACGTTCTATAAACTGAAAGAAGATCGGGGTGGGGGGGCAGAGAAACATAAGATGAGGTTGGAGAGATAAGTAGAGGTCACGTGGTATAGAGTCTTGTGGGCGGTGACGTGGAGTTCTGTGTTGACTATAAATGCAATGAGGAGCCAATGAAGCATTTTAAGGCTGGAAGTGACATAATCAGATTTTCGTTTTTAAAATACTATAAAAGGCCTGGGCACAGGGAACAGAGAACATGATCTTAACTTTCGTGGAACTTACAGAATTAGAAGAGACAGATGACAATTATTTATGTAACCAAAATTATTACAGTGATCAGTGCAATGAAGGGTGCTATAATGAGACTAATAGGAAAGGAACCTTTTATGCAATACCTATGAGACTTCTCCCAGTTTTTCCTGGCATCCTGGCAAAGGACTCCCATTGTTAGTCCTTGTCTCATTGAGACTGAGCCTGTACACTAGTAACAAAAATCTTATCCTCCCAGCCCCTTTGCCTTGGGCCAGTTAAGCTTCAGATCTGACCACATGAGACCAGTAGCTTCACTTTCTTGTCTTTATCAAAAGTAGTATATTGATGAGGCCAGCCCCATGGCTTAGCGGTTAAGTGCGCACGTTCTGCTGCGGGTGGCCCGGGTTCGGATCCGAGCGCGCACCGACGCACTGCTTCTCCAGCCATGCTGAGGCCGTGTCCAACATACAGCAACTAGAGGGCTGTGCAACTATGACATGCAACTATCTGCTGGGGCTTTGGGGGGGAATAAATAAATAAATAAATAATTTTTAAAAAGTAGCATATTGATGGAGATCAACCTCTAAAGACCTACTAAGACTTATAAAATATATTCTTTCTTGTATAAATATATTCTTTGTTGTATTGCAAGTTTGGTTCACCTACATAGTGTTCAAACAAAGCTGAAAAGACTAAAATATCCCTAAGTTTTATATAATTTATTGAAAAACTTGAAAAAATAAGAGCAAGAATATTAGTACATATTATATAGACAGAAATAGATTTTATGTTTGTATTTAGTAGTCTATAAGAGAGCAAGAACTATGTATTATTTTCTGTTGTATCTGTACACTTTGCAAAGTGCCTGCCATTTTCTTGGCAGAAATTAATTTTTGGAATGAATTAATCTCCTAGATTTTACATGTTCTTCATTCATATTTTTCTTTTTCGTAATATTGTTTATTATAATATTTCCTGTAAAAAATATGGAAATGGAAATGCAGAAAAGGATATAGTTGAAACATAATCAGGATCTTATACATGATCACTATTAGGGTTTTGATATGTTTCTTGCCAGTCTTATGTAGTCTTATTATTTCTCTGTGTGTGTGTGTGCTTGTGTGTTTTTGAACAAACTTATGCTATGTGTCTACTTCTGTTTCCTTTTTTAAAAAAACTTTATCAGTATTTCTCATGCCATTAAAATTTCTTTGAAGGTTTTTTTTAATGACTAATATTTCATCATTTATTTTAACTTTAATGTGAATACATTTGTATTTGCAGTGATTGTTGAGCCCATTCCAGTTGGACAAGCTGCTAAGGACTATTTAAATTTATATGTAACACCAACCTTGCTTGAAGGACTCACAGCGCTTTGTAAGGAAAAACCAGCAGATCCTTTTGTAAGAAATCTTTTTATTCAAGCTAAAGGATATTGTCTATGGTTTTCATATTTAAAACATTGTATTCTTTGAAACAGTGAAAGTATTGGGAGTCGTTTTTAAAAACTATTTTATATACATTTTAGATACTTCCTTACATATAACTTTGATTACTTATTTTCTTGCTGTGTTTTAACTCTTAAAAAACATTGTTCCTAAATACATTTTCAATTATTGTATCCTTCAATTGCTGAGCATTGTTCTTGTGTATAATTTATGTAATCAAAGGATAAAATTAGATATATACTTGAATTTTGTTCAACATTTTTGTTTCTCATGATATCTAAAATTTTTAAATAGAAAACTTGTATTTATTCACATCCCTGGATGCCTCAACACTGCTCAGGGAGGTGGAAGAATGGTTGGGTAGGAGGAACTAGGATGGTTGTCCAGGGCCAAGTGTCATCCTGGGTCCTTCTTTGCAGATACTCCCACCCATTTGAAGACTCTCAGTGATAATCAGGGAAGGTTATTTTAATACCAGCTGTACCAAAATAATATTTCTAGTCTCTGTAAACATTCTCAAAGGGAATCCCCTTTGGAAGACAAAAGATTTAATCTCCCCTACTAACTTGGTCACTTTACCAAAAAGAAAAGATAGGCAAGTTATTTCTTTAATAACTCTTATTCATTATGAAAGTAATATATGTTTATTTAGTAAGAAACCTGAAACTACTGAAAAATGTAAAGAAGAGAAGAAAAAGATACCCCTGGTTCCATTTCCTAAACATGGTCTCTGAAATCATCTTGCTTGGATTCAACTCTGACTCCAGACTCCTAGCCTCTCTCTGAGTCTCTTTTCTCTTTGGTAAAATGCAGATATATTAGTACCTACCTGCCTAATAGGGATATTGTTAGGATTAAATGTATCAATGCATGTAAAATTCTTAGTCAAAGTGTCTGGTGTGTAAGTGCTCAAATATCAGCTGCTATTATTATTATTTTTTTCCAGTCCCTTTTTTTCTTTGCTGAGGTTTTATTTTTTATATGACTATACATAAACGTATATTCCATACATATTGCTATATTTAAATATATTTTATAGAGATTGTTATATAGCTTATTTAATAAAATACATGATATTTCTTTTATTATCTTTACCATTCTTCTTTTGCTATTTGAGTTGTTTGCTATTATAAGTACTGTAACAATAAACATCTTTGAGTTTTTCACGCACTAAGATTATTTCATTTGGAAAGAGATAAAAAAGTAGAATTATAAGTCAAAATATATGAAATTTAAAAAAATTTTGGCCCTTGAACTTTATTTTTTGATTAATTTTTTTAATAAGTAATATTTGAATATAGTATAAAATTCAAAAGTTATGAAAGGATATATAGTGAAAAGTAACTCTCCTTCTTATTGCTGTTCCTCAGCCACCCAGTTGTACTCGTTGGAGTCAATCACCGTTACCTGCCTTTAGTATAGCCTTTCAGAGAAAATCTATACATATATAAGCATGTATATTTATATGTACTTAAAAACACATACACATACAAATGCTAGCTATTAAATACACTATTTGACACTTTTAACCTTATTTACTTAATATATTTTATAAATTTTTAAATAGCACCACAAACAAAACTGCCCCTTTTTAAAAGAACAGCTTATGACGCTCTGTTGTATGGATGTTCTACAATTTATTAATTAGTAACATATAGATGGTTGTTTAGGTTGTTTCTACTCTTTTCTTATTACAAACTGCTACAGTGAATATCCTCGTTCCTGTCAGCACACTATATATCTATAGGATAAATTCCTACAAATGGAAGTACTGAGTCAAAAAGAATGTTATTTTGATGTTTTTGACATATGCATTTTTAATTTGGATAAATATTGTCAAATTACCTTTTGTAATGATTGCACCATTTTATACTTAGATCAAAAATGAATGAGAGGGCCGGCCCCATGGTGTAGTGGTTAAGTGCGCACGCTCCACTGCTGGCAGCCGGGGTTTGGATCCCGGCACGCACCGATGCACCGCTTGTCAGACCATGCTGTGGCAGTGTCCCATATAAAGTGCAGGAAGATGGGCACAGATGTTAGCCCAGGGCCAGTCTTCTTCAGCAAAAAGAGGAGGATTGGCGTGGATGTTAGCTCAGGGCTGATCTTCCTCACAAAAAAAAGAAGAATGAGAGTACCTGATGTTTTTTCAAGCTTTGCGTTTTTTTGCCAATCTGATAAATGAAAAATGGTATCTCAGATCATTTTAATCTCAGTTTAATTTGTATTTCTTTTGTTATGAGCGAATTTGAGTGTCTTTTCATATATGCTACTTAAAGTCATTTGCCTTTCCTTTTCTGTGAACTTCCTACTCATGCCCTTTGTCCATTTTTGGGGGGGTGGGGTGGGTTCTAGATCTTTTCCTCATTGTGTCGGAACTCTATATGTTTAGGAAATTAATCTTTTGTTGTTTAGTAGATTTTTTTCAATTTATCAGTTGTCTTTTGAGTATCTTCATGATATATTTTAATTTTAATGTATCTGAATTTAAAGATTTTATTTATTTATTTTTTCCCCCCAAAGCCCAGTAGATAGTTGTATGTCATAGCTGCACATTCTTCTAGTTGCTGTATGTGGGACGCGGCCTCAGCATGACCAGAGAAGCGGTGTGTCGGTGCGCAGCCGGGATCCGAACCCGGGCCGCCAGCAGCAGAGCGCACGCACTTAACCACTAAGCCACGGGGCCGGCCCAATGTATCTGAATTTATTGAGCTCTTTTATGGCTTCTAGGTTTCTGGCCATATTTAAAGAAGGTTTTCTGCTCTAAGATTATAAATAATATTCTCTCATGTTGCCTTCTAGTACTTTTTATGTTTCCTTTTTTAAACATATATATCTTTGATCATCTGGAATTTATTTTGCTATCAAGAGTAGGTAGGGAGCCACATTTTATTTTATTTTCCACTTGGTTACCCAATTGACCCAAACCATTTATTGAACAATCTATATTTTCCTCATAGATTTAAGATTGCACTGTTGACATATACTAAGTTCCTGCATGCATTTGGGTTTATTTCTGTATTTTTTTTCTGTTTCATTTACCTATATATCTGTTCATTTGCAAGTACCACACTGCTTTGATTACTATAGTTTGTTTGTTTGGTTTTTTTGGTGAGGAAGAGTGGCCCTGAGCTAACATTATCTTCCTCTATTTTGTATGTGGGATGCTGCCACAGCATGGCTTGATGAGTGGTGCGTATGTCTGCGCCCGGGATCCGAACCTGCGAACCCCGGGCCGCCAAGGCGGAGCGAGCGATCTTAACCACTGCACCACTGGGCTGGCCCCGGTAGCTTTATAATATATTTTAAAATCAGGTAGCTCTAAGCCTCCCAATTACTCTTCTTTTTCAGAATTTTCTTGACTTGTTTTTTGCATTATTATTTCTAATGTGAATATTTTCAGGTCACAATACATACTGTCATATTGCTTTCTTAAAGGGCCATGCCAATTTACACTGTGATCACCAATGTATAATTCCCATTTCACCCCATCCATATTAGTATTAGATATAAGTTAAAAACACTGAAGTGGGAGTGGGACTGATTTGATAACAGGCAAAATAGAAAAAAGAAAGATGATATTTCAATTGTTTTAACTTACATGTATATATTTAGTGGTGAGGTTAAACATTTTTCCTTATGTATAGTTGTATTTCCTCCTTTGTGAATTATCTGTTTATCTTTTGTCCACTTATCTGTTGGAGTTTTGTAAGAACTTTATATATCATTAAGAGTTACATCAACCTTTGATCATACTTGCTGCAGAAATATTTCTCTTTTTGTTTAACTTTCAATTTTGCCTTTTTTTTTTTTTGTGAGGAAGATCAGCCTTAACCTAACATCTGCCAATCCTCCTCTTTTTTGCTGAGGAAGACTGGCCCTGGGCTAACATCTGTGCTCATCTTCCTCCACTTTATATGGGATGCCGCCACAGCATGGCCTGACAAGTGGTGCGTCAGTGCACGCCCGGGATCCGAACCAGCGAACCCCGGGCTGCTGCAGCGGAGCGCCTGCACTTAACTGCTTGTGCCACTGGGCCGGCCCCTCAATTTTGCCTTTTAAATAGTATTCAATAAGTCAAACCTTGATTTTTTTCCTTATTGTGGGTTTTGTTTTACTATCTAAGTTTAGAAAGTCCTCTCCCATTGAAAGTTTTGCTAAATGTTCACTTTTGTTTTCTTCTAGATTTTTTATATTTAACTTTCCCATGCATCTGGAATTATTTTTGTATATAACACAAGATAAAGATCTAAATTGATTTTTTTCCAGTTGTCCTTGTACATTGATTTATGAAGCCTCATTTATCACATATTAAATTCTATATCTGGGCATGTATTCTGTTACAGGGATCTATATGTTCTAACAACAGTACCACAATAAATAATTACTTTTAACATTATTTTCGATACTTTTGTATATACTTAATCTTTTTTTTAGTTTTTTTGTGATAAAATATATATAAGATAAAATTTGCCATGTTAACCATTTTTAAGTGTGTAATTCAGTGGCATTAATTATAGACACAATTTTGTGCAACCGTCATTATTATCTGTTTCTGAAATTTTTTCATCACTCCAAACAGAAATTCTGTAACCCAAGCAATAATTCCCCATTACCTCCTTCCCTCAGGCCCTCGTAACCTCTAATCTACTTACTGTCTCCATGAATTTGCCTATTCTAGATATTTCATGTAAGTGAAATCATACAATATTTGTTCTTTTGTGTCTGGCTTATTTCACTTAGCATAATGGCTTCAAAGTTCATACATATTGTAGCATGTATCAGAATTTCATTCCTTTTATGGCTGAATAATATTCTATTGTGTATATATATCATATTTTGTTTATCCATTCATCTGTTGATGAATACTTGGGTTGTTTCTACCTTTTGGCTATTGTATATAATATTGCAGTGAACATTGGTGTAGAAGTATCTGTTTGAGTACTTGTTTTCAAGTTTTTGGGGTATATGCATAAGAGTGGAATTGCTGGGTCAGATGGTAATTCTGTGTTTAGCTTTTTGAGGAACCACCAAACTGTTTTTCACAGCGACTACACCATTTTATATTGCCACTAGCAATGTATGAGAGTTTCAATTTCTCCGCTTCCTGGGTAACACTTATTCTTTTCTGTTTTTGTTTTTATTGTTATAGCCATCCTAGTAGATGTGAAATGGTCTATCATTGTGGTTTTGATTTGCATTTCCCTTACGACTAATGATGTTGAGCATCTTTTCATGTGCTTTTTGGCCATTTGTATATTTTCTTTGGAGAAATGTCTATTCAAATTCAAGTTCTTTGCCCATTTTTTTTTTGTGAGGAAGATCAGCCCTGAGCTAACATCTGCCAATCTTCCTCTTTTTTTTTTTTTTTTTTTCTGAGGAAGACTGGCCCTGGGCTAACATCTGTGCTCATCTTCCTCCATTCTATATGGGACGCCGCCACAGCATGGCTTGACAAGTGGTGCATCGGTGTGTGCCCGGGATCTGAACCAGCGAACCCCGGGCCACCACAGCTGAGCGGGTGCACCCAACACCTTGCGCTACTCGGCTGGCCCCGCCCTTTTTTTTGGGGGGGGAAGATTGGCCCTGAGCTAACATCTGTTGCCGATCTTCCTCTTTTTCTTTTTTCTCCCCAAAGCCCCAGTATCTAGTTGTATATCCTACTTGTAGGTCCTTCTAGTTCTTCTATGTGGGACACTGCCTCAGCATGGCTTAATGAGCAGTGAGCAGGTCTGTGCCCAGGATCCGAACTGGTGAACCCCGGGCTGCTGAAGCAGAACATGTGAACTTAACTGCTATGCCACTGGCCCAGCCCCACTTTGCCCATTTTTAATTGGGTTGTTGTTTTGTTGAGTTGTAGGAGTTCTTTATATGTTATAGATATTAAACCCTTATCAGATATATGATTTGCAAATATTTTCTTCCCTTCTGTAGATTATCTTTTCACTTTCTTGATAAGGTCCTTTAATGCACAAAAGTTTTAAAATTTTGATGAAATCTAATTTATCTATTTTTTCTTTTGTTGCTCATGCTTTTGGTGTCATATCTAAGAATCCATAGCCACATTCAAGGTCATGAAGATTTACTCCTATGTTTTCATTTAAGATTTTAGTGGTTTTAGCTCTTATATTTAGGTTGTTGATCCATTTTGAATTAATTTTTGTATATGGTGTGAGGTAGAGGTCCAGCTTTATCTTTTTGCTTGGGAAATCCAGTTGTCCTATCTGTTGAAGAGACTATACCTTCTCCATCAAATGGACTTGGTACCATTATCAAAAATCAATTGGTCGTATGTGTATAGGATTATTTCTGGACTCTCACTTTTATTCTATTGGTCTGTCTATCTGTATGCCACACTGTTTTGATTTCTGTAGCTTTGTAAAGATTTTGAAATCGGGGAGAACAAAGTTGGAAAATCCTCCGACTTTGTTCTTCTTTTTCTTGATTGTTTTGGCTTTTCAGAGCCCCTTGAAATTCCATATGAGTTTGAGGATTGACTTTTACATTTCTGCAAATACGACTGTTGGAAATTTGATAGGGATTGTATTGAGTTTGTAGATTGCTTTGGGTAGTATTGACATCTTAACACTATTAAGTCTTTCTATCCATGAACACGGGATATCTTTCCATTTATTTAGGTCTTTAAATTTCTTTCAACAATGTTTTGTAGTTTTCAGGATACAAGTTAGTTAAATTTATTCCTAGATATATTTCTTTTCAGTGCTATGGTAAATGAAAGTGATTTCTTAATTTCATTTTTGGATTGTTCATTGCTGATATATAAAAACGCAACTGAATTTTGTCTGTTGATCTTGTAACGTATAACTTTGCTGAATTCATTTATTAGCTCTAGTAGCTTTCTTGTCGATTCTTTGGGGTTTTCTGTATATAAGATCATGTCATCTGTGAATGGAGACAGTTTTACTTCTTTTCCAATTTGGATCTGTACTTGACAATGTTGCATAATATAAAACTTAGTGTTTCAATTTTCTTTTTCTTTTTTTTTTTGAGGAAGATTGGCCCTGTGCTAACATCTGTTGCCAATCTTCCTCTCTTTTTTTTTCTCCCCGAAGCCCCAGTGCATAGTGTGTATCATAGTTGTAGAGTTGTAGCTCTTCTATGTGGGATGCTGCCTCAGCATGGCTTGATGAGCGGTGAGTAGGTCCGCGACCAGGATCCAAACCGGTGATTTAATGGTCTTTTTCTCATTATTCTTAAAGTGATTTTGAAAACTGTTGAAGTTTTAAATTGATATAGTATATATTGCATAGAATATTTAAATGTTTATTAACTTGAGTTTTTTTTCTTTTTTTCATAGATTTGGCTAGCTGATTGGCTGCTGAAAAATAATCCCAACAAACCTAAGCTTTGTCACTATCCAATTGCAGAAAAACCTTCTTAAAATAAAGTCCTTCAAAGAACAAATTACGAACTATCATATTGTAAAAGGCATGCTTCTACTTAAACAAAAACAAAAACATAATTCCTAAGGGTTTAGTAACTACATGTGAAATAAATTATTTCTTAAAAATAAGTTTTAAAAGAATAACTGTGTTTTGTGCAGCAGATAACATTAGCTAAGGTAAAATATATGTTTAGGTTATTATTTTTTTTCTAATAAGAAAATTATATTTACTTAGAAGAGTTTAGAATGTCAACAAAACAACTGCAACTTTTTTTTTGCAATTACAAAGTGGTATTCAGTTAAGAGAGCAACAGTTAATTCATATAGGATTCATCAGAGACAACTGAAGATGAAAAAGCTACCATCCCCCCATATAACTACCTTACGCTGTGCACTAACAAGAACCTGCTTTAAATTTGTGTGACAATTTACAACTCCCATACTGTACCAGGCAAGGTTGGTGGCTATTGAAAATACCACAGGACAGGGCTGGCTAAAGACACATTCAGTAGTGTGTTAACTGTACAAAAAAAGACATTGTACAGTTTAAAACAAGTCTTACAAAGCCTTACATTTCAGCTTTTTCTTTAAAAGCAGTGAGTTGTATACAGGGAGGTTAAATGCTTTATAGACAAGAAAAAAACTTGCAGCAACTTATTTATCATCATCATCTTCATCTTCTTTCTCCTCCTCATCCTCTTCATCTTCTTTTCCTTGACTTTTTCAGCCTTGATGACTCCCTTTTTTGCGTCATAGGCTTGTGCAGCAATATGCTGTTCATATTTTTCCTTCAGCTTAGCAGCCTGCTTTTCATAAGGCTGCTTGTCATCTGCAGCAGTGTTATTCCACTTCTTGCCCAGTTTTTTGGCAGCATCACCAACGGATAGGCTGGGATGTTCTCCTTTGATTTGGGGACAATATTCAAAACAAGCAAGACTGAAGGTGGCTTCTTGGGTGCACTGGGATCCTTGGACTTCTTTTTTGTTTCCCCTGTAGGAGGAATGTAAGTTTTCATTTCTTTTTTATAATAGGCCTTGTCTGCCTTTGCCCTGTCTTCAAAGTTTCCTTTCTTTTTAGCAGATGTGGTCTTCCACCTCTCAGAGCACTTTCTGGAAAACTCGGAGAAGGTGACTGAAGCATCTCGGTGCTTCTTCTTGTGCTCCTCCCGGCAAGTTTGCACAAAGACTGCATATGATGACATTTTGCTTCTGGGTCTCTTAGGATCTGCTTTGCCCATGTTTAGTTACTTTCCCTCAGTGAGACACAAAGTCACCCAGTGCCCATCTGGCTCTCACTCGCCCTGGTGCTGTCTCTATGGAGCTCAATGTACTGCAGCGCTTGTCGGTTTAGGGTATGATTTTAACAATGATGTAACGTTAAGTAATAGAAGGCTGATGTAAGATGTTACTGTATTATTTTTTTTTAAGTTTGAGAAGTAAGACATGGAATTTTAGTTATATTTTCCCAAGGATGTATCCTATATCTAGATGCATAATTAATGCACAGTTTAGTTTAAAAAGTATGAGTATAGAGGGGGCTGGCCCTGTGGCTTAGCGGTTGAGTGCGTGCGCTCTGCTACTGGCAGCCCGAGTTCGGATCCCGGGCGCACACCGACGCACCACTTGTCCAGCCATGCTGAGGCCGCGTCCCACATACAGCAACTAGAAGGATGTGCAACTATGACATACAACTATCTACTGGGACTTTGGGGAGAAAAAGGGGGAAAAAAAGAAAAAAAAAAACTATGAGTATAGAAATAATTATTTGGTATAATGAAAAAGATCAGAACCAGATTATGATTTTATTTTATTTTTTAATCAATTTTTTTTTGGTGAGGAAGATTGGCCCTGAGCTAACATCTGTTGCCAATCTTCTTCTTTTTGTCTGAGGAAGATTGTCCCTGAGCTAACATCTGTGCCAATCTCCCTCTATTTTGTATGTGGGACACTGCCACAGTATGGCTTGATGAGCTGTGTGTAGGTCTGTGCCTGGGATCCAAACCTGCGAACTCCGGGCTGCCAAAGCAGAGCACGCGAACTTAACCACTATGCCGCCAGGCTGGCCCCCAGGTTATGATTTTAGGTAATCACTTATATAACTATTTCCTCGACATTAATAAGTGCCCTCCAAGGGTGACCAGACAGTAGGGTGATAACTCGTCCTGGTTTGCCTGGGACTTTCATGGTTGTATCACTTGTATCCTGGGAGCCTCCTCAGTCCTGGGTGAAATGGAATGATTGGTCACTCTACCTAATAGTCTGTAGGTTAATGTTTCCCAATTATGTTTTTGTGACAAGGTATTGGTTTCAAAAAAAAATGTTGTAAAATTCTCATTTCTTAAAGAAATTGTAATTTACACACAAAAAAGATCCAGGTTGTAAAGCTCTTTTATTAAGAGTAAATATTGGGCCCGCCCTGTGGTTTAGCGGTTAAGTGCGTGCGCTCCGCTACTGGTGGCCCGGGTTCGGATCCTGGGCACGCACCGACGCACCGCTTGTCGGGCCATGCTGAGGTGGCGTCCCACATACAGCAACTAGAAGGATGTGCAGCTGTGAC